GGACCCCCTGCTTCGTATCCCATTATGTTTTGTTTTCTACCTCTTCTCCGAGGCCGCAGTTTGCCTTCCAGCCAGCCTGTCTTTGATAAAGCCAACCCGCAGCGTGCCGTTTTGAACTCTTGTCTCACAAAAGCAAACGAGGGAGGCTGAAACGTTCACACGGTGTCCCATCACAGAGCATCGTCTGCAGGAATGAAAACCACAAACCAACCTGGTTCCATTTAGAGCCCTGCCACCATGCACACAGGTTTTATATATATGTATACATATATATTTATCTATATATATACATGCACACACCCACACATGACTGCATACACAGTGACGTGCACACACACATACATGCACACCTTATAGCACAGATATGTTACTGGTGAGTGTGTTGAAAGCAGCAGTCCGCTGTTTCCCCCCAGGATGTTTACAGCTGGGATCACCAGGCGAGTCTGGCTTTCTGGCAGCTTTACAGCAATAGCAGGGAAACCCGGACACACACACACACACGGACACACACACACACAAAAGGGCACCCAAAGAAAATAAATCTCACAGCCACTAAAGTAGAGAAAAATAACACATGCCATTTATCTCCACTTGTGTGCCACTTAAATGCATGAATGTCATTGTAAGAGTGTATGAATATCACACATGCTATAAAATCACAGTTGCATGTGGGGGTCTTTTTTTGTACATTTTTGTTTCTTTTCAACCATTTTTTTTTCTCCATTCACGTTTCCCCGCTCTGCTTTGGGAAGCTTCGGGCTACAGAGCAGCCTGATTCAAAGAATTGGCATGTCCTGTGGTAATACAGACCAGAAGGTTTCAGAGAGCACACACACACACACACACACACACACACACTAACCAAAACATCCTGGCACCGCTAGTTGGGTTGAAAGTTATTATTAGTGTCTGGGGGTGGTGTGTGACTGTGTGTGTGTGTATGTGTGTGTTTCTGTGACTGTGTGTTGCCAGACTACGACAAGGGTTTTCCCCATGACAAGAGGCAGCCAATAAAACGGCGGTGCGCTGTTTTGTGAGTCGGCGTAAAGAAACACGTCAATGTGTCTGAATTTAGCTGCGAAAACTGCAGGGAAAAAAAAAATTGCACAAAATCTGCATTTCTAAACCGCGCGGTGGTGCATTTAAAAAAAAAAATACCTGAAGCATAAAAATTTGATCAGATGTGTGTTTTTTGGAAAGTATCCACTCAGGCACTCAGGAGCACTTTAACCTCCAGTGTGTGTGTGTGTGTGTGTGTGTGTGTGTGTGTGTGTGTGTGTGAGCAGCAGCCTATATAAAATGTGAAGCTTGGATAGAAAATATAATGGAAAGTTTCTTTTTTCTTCTTCTTCTTTTTTTTCTTTACCCATGCCATGGAGCTGAGCTGTAACACCAGTGTTGGTTTTAGGTCTCCATGCGCTCTCGCTTGCTCCAAATAAATATACAGTACAAGAAGGAAGGAAAAGAAGGAGGGAGGGGGGCATAAGGGAAGGAGAGGGAAAGACTGAGGCAGAAAGAATGGAGAGATGGACCGACGGATGAGGGGAGGGCAGGATGACGGAGCGTTTCTCCGGCTTTTTTGGGATGAACCTGTGAGGGTGTCAGAGGCAGCGAGGACGGGAGGATGAACGCGACACCAGGGCTTTCTCCTTGTTGCCTCCCCCCCTCGGTGCTACCTTTTCTCCCCACTTTCTCCCCTCTTTCACGTGGTCCTTGTTACTCCTGCTGCTAACCAGCTAACAAGAGACACTCCTGCTGCCTCCTCCCCTCTGCTGCCTCTCAGTTCCACTCTCGCTCTGTGTCCTTTCTTTGAAATGAAGTAAGTTTATTAGAAGCAGCTTGTGTGAGTGAATGAGTGTGTGTGTGTGTGTGTGTGTGTGTGCATGTGTGTGTGTGTGTAATTGGTAACAGGGCAGGGCAGGGGGCTCTGGTATGCACATGTGTGTGCCAGCTTCGGTGTCTGACATGCTGGGGGGTCCTGACTTTTTAGAAAAGGCCGTCTCAATCCTACACACACACACACACACACACACACACACACACACTGATGTCAGCGAACACAGCGGCTGTGGCTAAGGCCTGGAGACACCGAGACTGTGGCTAGCTCCTAATAGTCCTGCAAAGCATCACGGGACACCACTCTGACCAGTCGGTCCAGTAACAAAGCACGCCGGGTCAGATCGTCTCGGCGTGCAGAAACACGACCGCCGAAGTTGACCAACAGTCAGATTTGCCAGCGGGATGAGCTGGAATGAATGTTGGAGCAGAAAGTGGAAAAGAAACTCGGAGAATAAACACATTAAATTATTCTCCTGGTTTTGTAATTTGTTGGAAAAGAAAAAACTGAAAGTGCTGTTGTTACAAATGAGACGGGCGCTGATGCAGATAGCGCCCACAGTGAAATGTAATGGTCCATTATATCACAGGAATAGTCAGGGCATGAGAGTACACAGTCATTAACGCTGCTTAATGGCATTTCAATATGACAGTTCATCTCTTGAAATTACTGGGTTGCAGGGATAATTGCAAAATCATTGGAAATGTTTTTTTTTCTTTCTTAATTTATGTGTTTCTGCTATTTTCTCGATAACCATGACAGCACCCAAACAAAAGACTGGACAAATAGTTCCCATGTTCAGCCGCACTTTGGGTAACACCAGAATATGACCGATAGTAACTCAGTGTGGGTGTTATAAGTTCACATTTAGGTAAATTTAGAGTTAAACACACTCTCTATTTGTTGGTAACTTAGAGACACTGTCATCATTACATAGCTCATCCACCAGGGGGCACTGTCTTGTTTATTTTTCAACTGTAAAATGTTTCTCAGTGCATAACTCAAACTCTTTAATGACCTTTTTTTTTAAGGACAAAACATACTTATATACATTGCACAGATTTTCAAAAACTGATATCGGCCTCAGAAACTCAGTTTCATTCAGGCTTTGCTTTGCACCCCAATAATCAATAATCTTGCAAAATATTAAAGTGCAAAAATCTTGTTTGTTTAAAGACAAAAACAAAGGAAATCCCTACACTGTAAAAGATCTTGAAGGATTTTTTTTTGTTAAATCAACTCACATTTTCTAGTTTACTTAATTTAAAGTAAGTTTTGCTTTTATCTGAACTTTAAATATCTAATTTTTATCTTCCACTTTAAAATGTAAAAACATGAGCTCTTTTAACATGAGCAGCTGAAAGTTCCCTCAACTCAATAAATTAAGTTTGTAAGAAACAAAACAAACATTAAAGCAGACTTCCCAGGATGCAGTGCTGCAGAGTTAAACCTCCTCAGGGACTCTTGTTTGTTGTAGTTTGAAAAAACAGACACAGTGGAAACTGGTGTGTGTTTAAAACATGTTAAACTAAGTTATGGTTGTTTCTTCTAATAATAACTAAAACAAATCCAACCATGACAACGGCTAGAACTGAAGTCAGTCCAAAAAAAACAAGAAGAAACTCTTAAAACTTAGAAAAGTTAAAAGGAAAGCAAGTCTGCTGGCAACCACTGTCTCTGTGACTATTTGAGTTAACTTAATATCTTGAGTTTATTGGACTTGTTTTCTCAAATTCAGTTGATTTAACTCAATCAGTTTTGCACTTTCACGACTCATAAAATGACTTTAACTAAATAAATAATTGCAGCACAGTTAATTTACATTTCTAAGCTGAAATAACTTAAAATGATTTACAGTGTACGTCCTGTGCTTCGTATTCAGCGATTTCTTTTTTGTGATTTTTCGTCAAGCGTTCTCATCTTGCAATGAGCATTTTTGTGTAATTTTATCAGTCTTTAATGTTCTTTGGACTGCACCATACGGCAGCTAACTGGTGCTTTAAAGATTTGACTGGCAGATGATTCAGATGTGAAGGCATCAGACCTGCAGCTGTGAGCACTGACGCAGATATACAACATCCTAATTCTGTGTGTTTGTTTGTGTGTGACTGAACTCACCTCGTCATCCTTGTACCAGGACAGAGACTCGGCAGTGAGGACGAACCAGTACTCCTTGGCTCCTCCTTTCATGATGCCGATGTTGTTGATGGTCAGCCAGCCCTTTCTGATCACCTGAGGAACAGACGGACACACGGACACACACAAGGACAGAAAATAATTAGAAATAAGCGGGTAAAAGTCGCCCACCTTCTATTTCTATATCTCATAAAACTTAACAAAATCATCCTGGACATGTAACAGCTATTAAAGTGTAATGAAACTGCTTCTAATGGAGACAAGAAGCAACAAACGCTCAACCCACAGGACTAAAAACACACTGTTTTTTTCTGCTTTACCCTTAACTTATTTCACTCTCTGCACCTCACAGACACTACAGACACATACAGGACGTGGTGTGCGAGTTATTTACCTTGAACCGATCGCTAACTCCTCTCTCCGGCTGAATGAGAATGTGGAGAGAATATTACAAAGCTACGCCATCGCAGGACATTAAGTAGAGGCCAAATACACAAGGTTGGTCATTTACCAGCACATTACAGCTGGCTGCTGGGACGGCAGCAAAGGGGGACAGCAAGCAGGGCGGGGATGAGGGAGCTAAGGAGGCTACCATCAGAACGGCCCAAGTCAGACGTTTTAGATCATGCAGCAAAATGCAGGCCGCTTTACGCTGTATGTGCTCTACTGATAGAACGGAGCTTTATTTCATAGAGGAATAAGCTACTGCATGTCAGTGTTAGGCTTTCCAACCAACACACGTTGATCTTCTTAAGGCTAGCAGTGTTTTACTGGGAGGAATACTCACATAAAAGATGGCCGCACCGTTATCAGTTTTAGATTCTGGACTTGATTTCATTGTGTAAATATAATTAGATGTGTCCCACAGACATTCAAAACTGTCCCTCGTGTCATAAAAGGAAAAAAATATGTTGGAAAAAAGGAAGATTCTATGTCTAGAAGTCTGTGATTTATTCACATGTAATGGTTCATTGTATTTGGTAATTTTTAGAAAGTTATGAACAGAATTTAACCCTCTGAACCACAAAACCAGTCGATGGGTTTTAAAGGCATGTTATCCCTGAGAAATGCCAAAATGACAGAACTAGAAACTGTAATAACAGAAGAAACCAGCGGAGAATTGTGACATCAGTTTGTTCTACATGTCTCAGTTAAAAGATCTCTTCTACAAATTACATTCTGCAAAAAACAAAAACTCCTGTGCTCTTCGACACAGTTGTGAAGCTGTGACTGATTCAGCCATGATCAACATTTGCATGACAAAAAATAAGGGATTTTTGACTGAACTAGGCTGAACTGCAGGCTGTGTTTTGGTTCAGCAAATAGGAGACAAATATAGAAAGTAATTAAAAGCCTAAGTGGTAAAATTGCTAATGTATGCACGGTCAGTTTTTTGAGAATTTAAGAAATGTTGTATGTGTTGATTCTAGTTTTTTTCTATTTGTATGCAATAAATAACCGAAAAAGGTTAGTGTTTTGTTTTTTTTCCTTTTTAAAGATTTAAAGCATTAAAACTTTGTCATACCTGAGTTCTCCCCACTTATAGCCATGGGTGCTCTGTTCCATAGAGGTGCTGGATTTTATATTGCAGTGAAAAATGAGCCCACAGTGAGGAAACATGTGACAGGAGCAAAACACACAGAAACTGTTTGGGATTCAGAGGGTTCTCAAAGGATTCTGTTGATTTGAAACAATACTTGGCTGCACATAATACAACTGCATCAGCGACTGATGATTCCAGCGATTCATTAAGCAGCAGTGATGCTCTCCAGCTGCACATCCACTGTGGAGTTTGTACATTTGTGTTTCAGGGGGGTCCTACAGTTCCCAGGTCAGAGCTGCTGAATGAGAACAGAAGCCGCGAGGTCTTAAAGGGCCAACGACATCCATTTATAAACAGGAAGTAAAGTTCACCACTTTGTTTACTATGTGCCTCCAACCTCTGACCCTAATCTGGGTGGTTGTTATGACAACTGACAACCACGGAGCTGCCATATGTCTGCCACACTGCAGGCCCGCCTCTCCCCTCTGGTACTTTGGGTGAATTAGGAAGAGGGAAGGAAGTCTGACCTATTTTGTTTGATTCATATCATCAAGAAAAGAAAATCTTTTTATCACTTTGTTGCCTCCCTTTGGTTTTTATTCTCCTTCTCTAAGCAGTTCTAGAC